ACAGATGAGACTGAGAGGTGCTCAACTGCATGGTGGTGCGATGACTTGCCGATTCCACTTGGCCACTTGATGAAAAGCTTGGCCACTTGTCGAAAGATGGTCACCACCTCCACAATGAAGAAAACACATTTCACAGGGGATGCACTTCATCAACGGTGAGTGCTTGTCGCTCGACATTTCTAGTTTCTGGAGGCAACCCGACTGGCCAATCTTCGAATTTCCCAGACTTTGGGTCATGTCAAACACCAAAAACATGGATGTTCCATTCTCTTCCAACGCCGAGCCCTCCGCCCGGCCAGCGCCAGCGAGGCAGAAAACCGCCCGGAAACGCCGCCGTGTTCCCTTTCTCCGCGCGCCCGGCGCGCCCGTGTGAGGAAGAGGGGGCCCTCCACGTTGATGGCCATGGTCTTCGAAAAGTCTTCTTCGGTGACCTGTGCCACGGAACCCACCTGGCAGTCGAAGGAGAAGAGGTCGACGCAGTGGGGCTCTCGCCCGGGAGGAGGGATGTGGTGCAATAGACTTAGTGAGTCAATGGTTCAATCCCTATAGAGCTCCTGGCCCATATCCTCAGGTTCAGTGGTTAGACCCCCCCCACCCCAACCACCTGGTTAGGAAGCAAGCCAGGAGCCCTAGGGAATCAAAATTAGGTTCCAAATCCTTTGAAGGGGTAGGGCGTGGCATTCTATAGAGTTGGCATGAGTATGCGATCGCTTGGGATTCAGTTGCTTTCGTGAAGTGAGTGAACAGAGGCCACGTAGCGTGGCAAACCACACTTCCACCTATCATAGATATGTCCAAAAAGTGTACCCCAATACTATCCAATGTACAAGAGTTGCAACGTCTCTATATATGTTTCATTTTTTTTCCAAGCTAAAATCCACCATATCTTGATAAACCAGAGACGACTTTCCATATTTGCCAGTCGTTTACCTTCGTTTCGATCCCAGCCCATCGCTCAGCTTCCGCGACACGACGAACGAAGTCACGTCACCCACCAACCCCGCGGCCTCTCCAGTCACTGCAGCATTGTGCACCACACATGACAGCGCTGTACCGCCTAAAGAAACAAAAAACAACGAACAGCGCCCAAGGAACTAGCAATTTTGGGGTGGGTCTGTGAAGGGAGAGTCTCCAATGCAGGTTTTTTTCGTTTAAAGGTATATATGGTCTCTTTAAACATGTACTGTGCTAGATACTGTTTTAGTAGGAACCAGATCTGGCACTTGGATGTGAAGAACACTCTGCAAAAAGGTTCACTTCACTGCTCAATCTCAAAGGCTAAGAGCTGATCATGTCCGCACATGTCCAAACACCTTCAAACAAGCAATTACCCTAAATAATAGATCTTTAAACAAACCTTAAAACCGAGAAACAAACAAATCACATACACACATGATATCACACGACCTTCCTCTTGCGGCCTTGGCACCTTGGCAAAGCTCTGCCACGCGCTGAGCGACCAGCTGACGTCCCTCCGTGGTGCCCACATCCGCCGGCACCGCCTGAGACTGAACATCACCGGCCTTGGAGGGTTCCCGAAAGGGACACCTGAAACACATCTCAAGTACGATGACATACTATGATCGTTTAAGTGATTTATAGTTATATTACCATTGATCGTTATTACATACGTATGAGTATATATATATATATGACTATATACATTATATACTTTAAATTTATTAGTTTGTTTGTGTTTGTGTTTGTGTTTTACTATAGTTTATTATAGTTTGTTTGTGTTGCTACTCGCTTCGTTCTGCTCGAACGCCACGAAACGAAACGAACGCAGCTCCGCCACATGAGACCCGTCGACGAGACCTGCGGCGACCCACTGCCGGTGCCTCCACGTTAGTGACGAGCTCGCAGGTCTCCTGCAAGGCCTGGACACGAGGCTCAACCGGAACAAAGGAGACACCGGAATCCTTCTTTTTGACATATTTACGTATACGTATACTCAAAACTTTAAGCCCAACTCCTCAAAACTCCTTAGATTCTGCTTCCGCCTCCTTCGGAGATGAGATCGACACCACTCCCTCCACTTCAGAAGCCACACCGTCGGCCTTGGGACGTCGCCCCACCGCCAGGACGTGGAGACCCTTCGAGGCCAACAGCACACTCAAGGCGCGGCCGATGCCGCTGCCGGCGCCCGTGACCACCTGCCGTTCGGACGACGGAAGAGGTGGGTGGGTTTTCTGCGGACGCAGCGGTTGCAGGTTTGCCGGCCGTGCAGCGGGGCGACAGGGCGGGGGTTGAAGCCGCTCCAAGGAGGAAAGGCGACAGTGGTGAGGTGTGTATGTGTGTGTGTGTGTATTTGTTTTTTCTTGGGGATGGAGGGTGGCACGCTGGGGTGGTGGAGCGGAGATGATGTGAGGGCAAAAGGGAGAAGGGAAATGGTTGTCCTGCTAGATCCTGCAAGTAATGCAAATAGTTGGACACCATGCCCCCCTTTTGGTCACTAAGTCAAGGAAACATGACACCCGCCGGAAATTGGTGATGCAAAGGAGAATAAGGAGAATGGTTGAACTGACGATCTGCAGCGACAACAAAAAACAACGAACAATTCCATAACACTGCAAGTATCGTATAACACTACGCATTACTGCCACTACAAAGTAACAAATAAAGAAATCACACCTATATACGCACATCTGCTTTCCGATATAACACGAATGAAAATTATATAGCAATCAATATTCCACTAACTAATTTCCACTGAGGCTGCTGTAATTACGTTGACAATATTAAGGCTTGAGCTTGAGACCCCCAGTTCTTCCTCCACACACAGATGCTCTCCACTCCCTCTCTGCTGAGTGCGCACCGCCGTTGGCTTCTGCACACCGCTGGCTGCACCCGACGCATGCTGTGCAGTGCCCAGTGCCGCTGCTGGGCGCTTCATGCGCGGGAGCAACGTGCTCCCTGGCCGAGCAGCCAGGAGTGAGGGCAGCAGCGTGGCTTTCAGCATGGGGAGAAATCGGGTTCACTTCAACAGGTTTGAGTGCCAAAGCTAAGTCCAGTCCATCCAACTAGAAATGAAGGTGGAGTCACTTGCATAGTCATTGCCTGGATATCCCATTTGAGTTCCCTTTTTGTTGATCCATGACGACACCGAATTCACCGAACGAACTGCGTCCTTTGCTCTTCTGCTCGGTGGAGTGTTTTCTTTTGTTGGAGCGTCGACGAGCTTCAGTTCGATCTCTGGGAAGTCCAGATGTGTTGGATTCTCAAACAACCTGAGTGGTGCGACTCGCAGGGAATGAGGGTGGCTGGATCCAATAGAATCTCTATTGGGGGCGAAACTTCCCTTATTCCCTACTAAGCACCAGTCAGCAACAGGTGCACCTCAGAATACATGGCTTACATGGCTTCACGCTTCCAGCAGAACATCGATAGGGCGTTAAAACATGAAGATCATCGGAACGTCAGGTTGTTCAAAGACGTGGCCTTGAGCCAAAAGCCTGTCATCAGTTCATATATATCAACCCAAGCAAAACCAGGCAAAACCATGGGCACAGTCACCCAATCATGGGCAAACATACAGGTTAAGAGCGTTTTGTACGCAAGCACCAGCAAACTGCAGCACCAGGTTTCGGTGCAAAATTGGTCAAGGAGACGTGACCCGGGAACCCCGGCAGACTTGAATGACCGGTCGACACGCGCAGATTCTGTGTCGGCGCGCAAACTGACCGTCGTGACCCGAAGCCTTGACTTGGAGATCCACCCGAGTTCCTTTCTTCACATCAGCGCTGAAGTCCCCGGGGGGGCCGATCTTTTGGGCTAGTCCAGTCATGTCTGACTTCATGTCTGGCCCTGCTTCAAAAAGAGCGACGAAGAAGCAATTCTTTGGAGAAACCGCAGGACAACCTCCCCGCATTGAAGGCTTCTGCTTCCAACAGTCCCACAAAAAGAATTTATTTTTGACACACGTCACCCCCGCTTTTGCTTCTTTCGCTCAGCCCTTTTTTCCCCAAAGCACTAAGTGGTCCACCAACCTGTGCTCGAGCACCGCAGCGGTCTTCACTGCTCCGTGGTCTCCCGCGGAGAGGTCCCGTTGAAGTTGGGCACCGAAAACGACACCCAAGGGCTGAACTCGACCGCATGCGGCCGCGTAACGGTTCCCTCGTCCTCGCACGACCCGCGTGACCCGAGACACGCCGCCGCCGGACGTCCGGCCAGCCGCGGCGGCCGAGGAGACGGGACCGTCCGGCAGCCGCGGGGGCAGTGAGTCCGTTCGAAGCCGTTCGGAGAAAAAGACGTCGGACATCACACTGTAGATCCACAGAATTGATCAGAATGTTGTGAGGTGATTCTGTTTTCTGAAAGGCTGGGTCTCCAAACCAAGTGCCTCCATCGCTGCTCCTGCTTGACTGATTCCCCAGATCAAGAGGTTCAAGACGATTGGTTGCTGGAATTAGGATACCTAAAGGGATATAAGCATGGATTGAATGGGCAAACAAACACCCCTGGCCCAAGGAGTCTATCATGGCCTTCTTTCCGTTTTGAGACGGCCGATTTAGGAACCCTTTGTCTCAATTAGAGACACACACACAGTATTCCTACCTGGTGGAGGAATCAATTGCCCACCGAGTTCTTCTACTCCGATACTCACTGCAGAGCACTGGGAACCAGCAAAACAGGGGCTACCGTGGAGAGACAAGACAGGCGCACTGGTCACAAACGGCGACCAATAGCTGACATATGGGGGGATGCTCAACAGGACGTATACAGCTGATACCCTCAAGAAGGTGTCCATCTCCAATGAATCATAGACAACCTGCCCTACTTTGTGTGATCACTATGCAACTTTTGGGCATGAGCTGAGCATCCCCCGCATGATCCTCTTGCTTGCTAGTTGGCTTGCCTCCGGGCTTCTTGAAGAGAGATGTACTGTAAGCGCCGCAACAGCCTTATATAAATGTCCACATACCCCCGTACGATACGTACATTTCCCTGGAGCACACATTATGGTGCAACGCAGATATGTTCTGGGTACGCTATTGTGATCAATTGCAGGATATGTGGATGTTCACAATCGAGAATGGAGCTCGACGACTCCCCCTGCAGCTCTTCTTCCAAGCTGTGAAAACAGCACTCCGAAAGTTGGAAAAGAAATGGCACCCAAACTCCATGTCCAACAGTTCAGCAATATTTCTGCTCTTCAGTTTCATCGAAGTGGTCAAGTCGTGCCCCTCTTCGCCCTCCTTCACCAGTGCGCGGGCACTGGCCCTAGCTCCACTCCACTCTCCCTCGGGTCCCGCCGCGGCTGGCGCGACCGCCGCACGCGGCGCTGGGCGCTGCGCGACCTCGCGGAGAGGAGGCGGCGAAGGCCACGGAGCAGGAGGTCCTCCAAGCGAAGGAGGAGACCTCCTCCCTTCACGGTGAGCGTCCTGGTCGACCCGATCGAAACACACGCGATTCGGTCCCGGTCCCCACGGTCGGTCGGTCGTGAGAAGCAGCGAACGCGAACACCAAGACCAGCGAATCGAAGGCGAAGACCTGTTTCAGACCTGAAGGATATCCAGGCCCAACCACATTGGTATGTAAAGGATCAATCAAGAAAAAAGTGGCTGTGGCTGTGGCCATGGCTCAAAACTTTTTTTTTCGGACCCGGGGAGAGTCTCCACGGGACAATGAAAAGAACAAATGACCGGGGAGGTCAAGCTACCACGGATCAGGGGTTCTAGAGTTTGACTCACGACCATATTGGAACAACCAGCAAACCCAGACACTCCATGTATGCCATATATGCCTACATTGACCCCGCAAAACCACCCCAATGTAGGCATATATGGCATACTGGAGAGTCTGGGAAATATCATTTAAGGTCATCCAATGTGATCCAAAGACCAAGCTGCTAAACATCTGCACCTAAAGGATATATATATATATATAATTAACTGCTCCTGACTTGTGCTATGCACTATCGTCCTAAACTTTGTTCCCAAGAAATACTATCCTTCGACCACACCTGGTGACAGTTAGAAAAGTTGAAACAACCAACGCCCATCACTTGTCCAAACCATCCAAACTACAAGTACAAATCATACAATATCACATGTATATAAAACAAAAATAATGAACTATATATATAGAGTACTATAAATAGTGCTGTTGTTTTAAATACTGGAACCTCCAAACCGGCCTATCACCCGTCCCCCCCCTTTAGAACAACTACCATACACAAACCGCCGACCGTGCGTGCTGTGCCGTGCCTCGCGTGGTGACGGTAGGTCTCGAAGAGGCGTCGCACCCAGCTCTTCGTCGTCTCGCTGTGCCATACCACGGGCGTCACGTGGAAGAGGCGTGCTGAGCGTGTCCACGCGCGCTGCTCGGTGTTGGGGAGGTCTTCCAAGAGCTTATAGGCCTGGAGTACGTGAGGTGTGGTTCAGTGAGGTACAGTGACGTTGGAGAAGTGGCATGTTGGAGATGTTTATGCAAAATTGGGCAAGGTGCTTTGAAGGGACTGAGCTGGGGAATCTGATTGGCCCAGATGAAAGCTGGGATCAAATATAGATTCTATTACAATCCAGAATAAGACGTCTCAGGCTTTCAGAAAAACATCACACAAGTGCCGAGCGCTCAAGATCACACGAGCCCGTTCCCGTTCCAAGAGCAGCTCTTTCACTGCCTGCAGCATCACGTCTCCCTGCATCATCTGCAAATGGAGGAAGAAGCCCAAAGGGACCTCGGCAAGATAGCTGCGTGTCGAAAGCCTCTCTTGTTGATGAGGACATTAAGGCCTTGCTCTCATTCTCATAGGACTTGCATAAGCTATCAAGCATTTCAACAAACATACAATGACACAACAGCTCAAGAGGTCCTTGTCGATTTTGGGGGGGGAACAACTTGCAGGTCTGGGTGAGGCTGAAGTGAACCGAATCGCCGGTTCATTGTGCCCAACAAGGGCCACCTGCCCCCGTTGAGAGGAGGGGTCCCTGGTTGGTCCCAGGTGGTGTCACTCAGGGGTACAACTTGGCAGATACAAGTGGCCTCTCTATCAATGAAGGCTAAATTTGATTTAGCAAAACTCTTCCTGTGCACTACCCTTTCCGTTCGCCTCTGAATACAACGTCAGTCCAAAAAAAAAAAAAGACCCACCGGCCATCGACGTCTTGTTGATGGCCCGAGGAGCGATGAGGAAGATTGCCCAGGTATGTCTTCCCTGAAGGTCAAAAGGACAGCCCGAAAGCGGTGTTTCGTCCCCGTACCCAAAGGCACCTGTGTCACCTGTGGCACCTGGTCGCTATATCTTGGTTGCACTGGACGTTTTACGATGCCCATGGAGAATCTTAAGAAACCGCCCCCGCCCCAGGGTCTAAACGGTGGATGAAACCGGTCATGTCCGGGTTCAAAGAATAGAGATCGCTGTTGTCCAAGAATGTCACGTCATGACTGATCGTCTGCAGCCCCACGTGTCCACACACCCCCCGCCCAATGTCGACAACCCCCCCCCAGGTGTCCGAAGATGACGTTGAAACTGTCGTCGGACAGCGCCTTTCCAAAGAGATAAAGCACAAAGGAGAAAGCAGCCAAGCCTTGGTGGAAAACAAACACGGTCTGCACAACGAGCCGGTTTGCACAGACATGTGTGTGTGTGTGTGGGTTTGTTGCTTTTGTTGTTTTGCTGCACTTTTTTCCTTGAAGAAATAACAGATCTAGATTTGCTTTGGAGTTTCTGGTATGTTTCAACACACACCCTCAAGTATGTCTGGGATTCCATTGGTTTATCTTGATGATTCAGAACCTTCTGAGTGCTGGGAGTTTCTCTGAAAGCTCGAAGTGATCTGAGGCTGCATGACTCAGGAACAAAAAAAGCACGAAGCAGGCACCTGCGGAATCTTGAGTTCCAGGTTGGAGGGGAATGTTCAACATTGCTACTAACCTTCAATCACCTTCATGCAACACGTGCATTCATATCCATCCATATATGCATCCATCCTCCTCTCATTGGGGTTGAATGCAAGCTAGGTCCTTTCAAAGCACGAAGCACCAAATGTTCATTTAAAGAACAAACCCTATGGATCCACATACCGAACCTGAGGTACGGTGAGCAGGGAGACTATTTCTGTAGGCTTGGTGGCTCCGACCTTCGGATCCACGGGGAAGAACTCCAAACAAACCAACCTTCGAAGGATCAACTTCGACGCGTTGCTCGGGGTGCTTCTGGGGAAAACGACGCGTTGGCCGTTTTCGTCCGCGGATGGCAGGGCGATATGGTCCTGAACAGGCCATGACATCGGAAGCCCGAAACCCACCGAGTGGGTTACGGGGGGTGGGTTGGGGGTAGCCCGAACCCCAAAAACACGGTTCAACGGCAGGGGCAAGGCACTGAGGTAGCAGATGAAGCCCAACTGGTTCCTGGATCGGCTCCCGAAGGGCTTGCCACGAAAGAGTCCGATGGCCAACAACAAGAAGGTCGTCCCCAAGGTGGCCAAGTCCTGCGCGTGAAAAGAGGCACGAGCGAAGGAACAGAGCGAAGGTGAAGTACTTTCGCATCCGATTTAGTGTCCCAGACACACCGTTCGGTCTGGTTCCACCGTCTTTCGTTATGTCGCCGTATGGTGGAACCACCTGCCGATGACCAGCTAAACTACTCAAATGCATGTGGGCTTCGGTTTGCGAAGGAGGATTGGCCCATATAGGCATTGATTGTTGTTCTTTTGTTCCCTTCGATCAGTGACGCATACCAAAAGACCTTAGTGCAGAACAACTCATGAGACTCTTTAACATAAAGCTTCACTCCACCGACTGGTCACAGGACCAAAGCTGCGGCTGAGGCATGGGCAACGATCATCTCATCTCCTATACCAATCTCCTTGTCCAACAAAAAGATGTGTTGCGATTTCACCTCGATCCTTGCAACCAATTCTCATCTTTTGGGGCGCCTTTATTTTTTTGATCCTCCTGGAGAACGGTCGGTGCAGCGTCCAGTGCCCAGGGTGCGGTCGAGTCCGCCCACCTTTAGGAGTGTCGTTCGGGCGCCTGCGCGAGTTCGAGTTCGATAGCAAACCCCAAGCCTTCTTCACGCAAAGGGCCGTGATGGCTGCGACAGCCACCTGGCTCAGACCTGACGACACGACGTGTCCTTTTTTGGAGCCATGAATGCTGGATCTCACGGACGGAAGGAAGGGAAGGAAGGAAGGACACTATATTTGGGGGGGGTATCTGGCAGGTATCTGGTATACAGAAGCTATACCTGAAAGGTATGGCAGACTCTGAGGCCACTCCTCTGTCTGAGAGGTATCCTAAAAGCGTTTTCAACTCCAGATCATGCGAGCAAAAGCAAACAGGCACAGAAACGCCTTTAGCTTGAGGGCTCGGCCGATTATATTATTCATCGACTGACTCCCACAAACAAAATGAATCATGTCATTGATATGACAAATACAATGCTTTAGGGCTTGAGGTGTGTATGTGACAGGTCCATTGCTCTCCCAACACCTAATCCACTCACATTCTATATATATCTCTGGGTAAATATGTTCAATGATAATAATCAGCATGTTAATTCATTAAACTAAACACACACACACACCTTATAAAAGCCCTTCTGCTGTGCCCTTCTGCCCTCTCCATCCACCTGCACCCGCACCCGCTGCCCACCTACGAAAAGCAACGGGTCGGACACAGAGAAGCGCTCGAAGGTGTTCCGCGCGCCGAGCCAAAGACTTTCCAGATTTCCTTCCATCAGTGCTGCCCGTGCCACATGCCGATACCTTGTTTGGCCGTTTCTGGCCGGAACGGACATGGCAAAAAAAGGCGGAGCAAAGAGAAAACTACATAGAAACACATGTCAATCATCTTAAATTGTATGCACATCACGTAAAACTCAACTATGCTAGTATACAGATGTATGCTGATAGACAGCTGATAGTTAAAATCTTATACGGTTATACGTAAAAGTTTACATCACCCAAAGGATGCAACAAACCTCACTTCATCTCACTTCTAGATGCTATTAAATTCTGCCTTTATTGATGGTCATCCGCTCTCCTCAACCCCTCCCTTGATGACTCCTCCAAGCCACAGGAAGGTCTCACTGAGACCGATGGCATAGCTCCGCGCGTCTCGGAGGCAGTGCTCCTGCTGCTGCACCGTCAGGCGCCGCCACTGGTCCTCAACGGTGTGATGCGACGCGCGCTCGGATGGCGCGCTTCCCCCTCAGCCTGCAAATGACAGACGCATTGTTTACGAACAAGGGTTCCACAACGTTGACAGGATGACAAAGGATGACGAATCAAGCAAGTGATCGAACTAGCTTCAATCCCCTGTGTTGCCATCTACTAGGTGAGAACATGCCACTGCCACTGAACATGCTCCAGTCAGTCAGCAACTGAAAACTGTTAAGTCGCCTCCACTGCTCGTTCTTCACACGCCTATACGAAGGGGCCCGGGCCCGGTAGGGCTGCCCTGGTATTCACCACTGTGTTCGGGACCAATCCACAGCCACGTGGGCTTTTTGGATCCCATTCCAATCACAAACATGTTCCTGTTTGGGCTCCAGTCGTACCTTCGTTTCGAAGGTGTTTGAGGTGGGTGCCAGGAGGGTCCAGTCATACCTTCTGAGGAAGTACGACTGGAGCCCGGGCCGGGGTTGTGTCCTTTGCCTGATCTACCCTCTTGCAGACTTTCACATGGACCCTGAAAGCCACCGGGCGGTGGTGGTTTTTGAAGGATCGTCGCCACACCACGGGGTTGTCTGTAAGTAGGGATCGTCTGCAAGGACCCTCTTCAGGAAAGATCTCCTTTAAAAGAAAAACGACCTTTCAGAGTAGAGTCCCTGCACGAGTCGTGCATCCAGGTGCATGCGTGCGTGCATGCGTGCGTGCATGCGTGCGTGCCCCGGTCGGACTGGACGTGAGAAGGATCACCACGACATGTCACACGAATCCATAAGGGAACGACCTGACTCACCTCTGGGTGACATGACACATCGATTGGGTCTATCATGGTGTATCCTCTTACCAGTTACCAGGGCCCAGTGGATGGTAATGGGGCCTGGTTGCAGGCCTTTCTCTAAAGTACAGTAATAACAGTGAACAGTGATAACTGCTTACTGCTGACTACATAGGACAAACCCAACATATCGATGGTCACTGTGGCCTTTCTCCTGGTGACTGGAACTCCTCGAGTGGAGTAGTACCTGAGGAACTGCCGCCACCACTGACCACCGCAACGACCGCTCCGAGACGAGGGACCGTGGCGCTGCAGGTGAACGTCATGGACTCCTTGCCATCTTCGGGAGCCATCATCTCAACCTGTGCCATGAGAACACCCGTCCCGTGCCATGCGGACACCGTGCGTTGAGGAAAGCGCCGGTGAAACGAAGGTGTGTCTGTGCCAGTCTAGGAAGATCTAGGAAGCATGCGCCAGCCAGAATTTGTGCCTCACGGGTACAGACTCAGGATGATAATCCTGGAAGATGGGTAGGAAGGGCTGCGCTCTAAGGGTTTGGCTGGTGCTGGTAATGGAGGTGCCATTGAGTCACCTTCAGGATCCGTGGGAGGTGATTGCTTGCGCAAGCAGAACCGGGATCGCTATGAGGCGACCACAACCCTACCTGGACCACATCAAACAACTCACAAGGTTGCCGACCGGCAGCTCGCTCCCAGCTCTCGAGCCGCACAACACATCAGGCCGCACCACTTCTCAGCTGCTTCCAACTACTTCCCAGCCACCTCAGCCACCTCCGACCAGCCACCTTCGGAACGGTTTTTTCGCCTGGAGTGGCTCGGCGGAGGCGACGGCCTCGGCCAAGCAGGCCAAGTGCGACGCCATGCAGATCCGCAAGTAGCTCGTCTCTGTCCACAGGAGCGGCGACCTCAGACCGAGATCTCTTCAGCTGGAAGAAGATGACTGCCAGTGGTCGATCTATGCACAAAAGGTGTCAAGAAGGAGGACACCCGTTCGACGGAAAGGACTGGAACGGTTCGGAAGGGGGGAGAAGCTTCCGTTGGACACGTGTGGAATCCATGGTGAGAAGTGAGAGGCCAACGGAAGACGTGTCCATTGTTGGTGAAGTTGATTTAACATTCGGCTGAGGCTCATAGGTCTTTCTTAATCTTTCTGCAGTGACCTATATTCTAAAGCAATTTCTGATATCCAGTGGGAACATATAAATGGACCAAAATGGATTGCAAACGTACTGGTCTTTTCTATGGTTTTCCATCTTGACGATCGTTTCAAGAGTGAAGGGATTGTCATTAACTGGCCTGAATCAGATTCACCCGCCTCTTCATCCGTTCAACCTCTCATCTCCTCCCCGATCTCGGCGGAAGCACGGAAGGCCGCAAGTGATGGAGAGGTATCTTGTCACCACATGGGAGATGAGAACCACAAACTTAAACCTCGTCCTCTGAAAAGCATGTTCTCCATGTTCTGATTCTGAACACCAAAAAGGCACCAAGCACAGCACAGGATCTACTTCGTTTTGACCACGATCAAAAGAATCATCACACTGCTCACTGAATCAAAACCAGCCAATCCAAAGGGGAATTTGGGTCGAGTACCACCGCTTTCTTTCAATCATCGCGACTTCATACCCGCAACCGGGTCGGCGTTTAATCTACCCGTGTGTGATACGTCATTGCCTAGCGGTTTGGCAAGCACAAGTAGCATAAAAGGTGTTGTCGCCTTGTTGTCCAAGCGTTTTAATTGGTCTATGAATCTGCATAGGCCTGGATGAACTTTATTGATTGGATGAACGAGTCTAGTTGATGATGCAAACATATGTTCAATGTCATAGCACTTCTTGCATCATCTTTGTCTGTTCATCTCATCAGCGCACCGTGTGATGCTACATCATCTCATGGCTTGTCTTCGTGTTCTCCCACAAGTTCTTTCCCTTTCAAAATCCTTTTTGTCTCGCTCCTTGCTCCGTGCGTATCGTCGCCCTCTCCGCCAGTCACGTCGACCCAGCGGCTTCGGGGGCACGACCGGATCCGAGCCGCAAGGCTGCTCCCAAGGACTCGCGGCCCTCGCGCTTCACGCCTGCGAGGGTGGCCGGCAGAAGGGCCGGGCAGAAGGGCCGATGGCACGGGTGGGGAATCCGATGGGTGCGGCTGACCGTATGGCACCTGACTCTGGGTCTCCGACGTCTGGTGGCTTTTGAGTGAACAGGTGAGGGTGACCTGTTGGAGGGTCCTTCTATATGCAAAGTTCAATATTTAGTATATGATACTCAGACTCGAATGACGCCCTTCTATGCATTCAGAGGACTCACTGACATGGGACCACCAGGAAACAACGACAACGACAACAATAACAACATATTAAAAACTGGATAGTGATCGTGCTAATGATGCCTTTTTCGGTTATAAATAGTTCGGAACCGCTTGAAGAACACTAGCAAGAACAATATATAAACAACATGCTTCCCACCCGCATCGATCCCGCGATCTTGACTCGACCCACCTGAGGCGTCGAAGCGCAGCGTGATCGCCTCAAAGGAAGCGTCGAGGCCAAAGGAAGGCTTCTGCCAGCTGCAGGAAGACCAAAATGGAGCCACCTGTTGCGAAAGCCATTGGAAGAGCCATTTCCAGCGAGATTCGAAAGAATCACGTACCTACGTGGATGGCACCATCAGGGACTTATTTATCTTATTTCGTCTGTTTCGTCTGAGAGGACATGCTCATCCGTCCAAAGGGCCATATTCCACCTATCAGGGAGTGTAAAGATGCCCTGCTCATTCGTCACTTCTCCCCGGTTTGTTTGTCTTTTCGACGACTCGTGTGACTTACTGTAAGCATGCCCTGCTCACGGTAGGTATACCACGGGTGACTCGTGACCCATGTGGACTTTCAGAAGCGACGGACCGGACATGAAATGGAAAAAAACACATTGATGAAGTGAGATGTGCAAAGATAGCTTGAAACTCTGCAATGAAAAAACGCCATCACAGCCTGAAGTTGCCACATCCAATGCATTGAATGCGTTTGTTCTTCTCAGGGCAAGGCAGGGCCCTCGCCTGTCGGTTGATTGACCAGCCTAAGGCCAGGAGCGCCCCAGGAAGAAAGACCGCGTTCACCAACACTGCCAAACGCATGGTCACCTGGCACCGGCTGAGCCGACACAAGATGCGTGTGTAGGGGACGGGACGGGAAGTCTCCGATGGGGCAGAGTCAAAGCGTGTGTTGTTGATTGTTTTTGTTTGCCGAGTTGACCTAGACAGACATGACCCCTGGTTTGATAGGTGCCATGTTGGGCGGCTGGTGGTCCAACACTGAGGTCATGGTCTGTACAAATGCTTTTTAAAACTGCAAGTTGGCTACCCATCCAAACCTGCAGGTAGTGGTACTCCGACCAATCGTCGCCTCGGCACATGAGCCGGTAGAGCTCGCTTGTCGGTGTTGGGAGATTTTGGGGGTGTGAGTGGGGTGGGGACACTCCGAGGAACACATCACATGTGTTCCTAAGTTCACCCCCCCTTTGGGGAGTAGTCTTCCAGGGGGGCCTTTTTATTGTTTTTTTTGGCTTGAAGTTTTGTTCATTGTTGTTCGATCCCGTACAACAAACAAAGCAAACTCTTGGATGGACATGGATGGACATGAATCCATGTGTCCGTTGGTAGTCCAGGTATAGATTTAACAACACATGGAAGGACTCATGCAATGATAGAGACCTCAGCCTTGGCCTTCGGGATGTGCAATGGACACCCTAAACTGTAGCGTTTTGTTGCCAATCGTTGCCTTGAATCATGGTATAGAATGGCATAATTAAATGTTCCAAGCAAACAAATCTATCAAAGACACAAGAGAATCTCCTTTGCAGGCTTAAACAAGAACAACTCTTCACACCAAAATTGACTCCCGTGGCTCGCGCATGCTCGCGCCAGTTGCAACAGCTCCCCTTCTCTCCCAGTCATGGTACCTTGATATAACTAGAACAAATCTGCGATGCCATCAACTAAAGAGGCATAAAATTATCTATGAGTAACCAAATCTGAGCAACCAAAAATCCCACCACAAATCTGAGTCACCCAAAAATGGCCTGCATGGTTTTTCTTTGGGACCTTGGAGGGTTCCCTGTTCAATTTCACTGTGTCGGGTGACATTTCACAAAGGGCATGCCACGCAAGAAGCTCATCTCCTCCAAGGGCAGCTTCCCCTCGTCCGCATCGATGCAGATCAAATTCGACAGCGTGACCTCGATGGTCCCCGGGAACAACGCGGACACCACGATGATACCTCGGGGTGAGGCGAAGGCGTCGCCGAACGACGCACTAGAGTGGGAGCACGGATTCATGCGGTGAGCCATGATGCGCCATGTCATGGGGTCACAAATCCAAGTGGAAACTTGGACTGGCTACAACTAGATCATCGGAATGTATCATACAAATACTTACTACGTAAGACCAAAACATGAGAGAAGATGAGAGAAGTCCTCTTTGGGTTTGAGAATTCCTCTGACAGGACCCTCTGACACCTCTGAAACCTCTGACATCACCAACTCAAGTTGCTCGTCCATTGCTCCTCCGAGCCGCAAAACCTCAAGGCATAGAACGGGCTCCCACGGCAGGCGCCAGCGGAGAGCACCAGCACCTGGCGTCGGGCCGCCAGCGGTGAAAGCCCCAATGGCGAAAGGGGGAGTGATCAAATGTTACAAGTCCTTCACACACAAAGACTCACAAAGAACATCAAATCCGACCACATCAATGTTGCCAGCGTCGAGACGCATCTCCGACTTTGGAATATGTTGAACGATGTAGCTGATGTTTGGGGATACCGGTATACAAATCATCTGATCGGGTTGAACCACATGTTTCATCTGCGTCTTGCGTCCCGTGGTCCATTCTGTCGCGGTGGAACATCCGGAGATCCGGAGACATTCGGAACATCCATCCCTCCAACTGGCTGGGGGACCGTGACCAAAAAGAAGCAATCTCCAAAGGGTGTTATGATGCGTTGGTGTTGTTGTCGTTGTCGTCGTTGTTGGAAGGCAATCCAAGGCACACAAAGGAAGGGCAAGAGAAATGCCGAGGACAAGCGCTCCAACTGGTGCCCTGCGATGTAGCCCAAGTCACACTCTGGGCGGAAGCAATAGTCCAGCACATCACCTAAGCGCTCGCTCGCGGGACGCGTGTGGAGATGTGAGGTTCACCCGACTCCGGGCCGGAAGCAACGGCTGAACGAAGGCCCCAAGGACGAGTCCACTGGGTAGGGAAGATGGTACAGTTCCCCCCTTTCCGGCGCTTTTGCTCCATGGTTTTGAGATGATCATGATCATGGCAGTTTTTCTGAAAAGCTCTGGGTTTGGGCCATCTGCTCTAAACTCAGGAAAGCTTTGCAAGAAAGGTCCACATATAATAGAAGGTGTGTAAGTTCTTCTAACGCTCTATGTCGCAAGGTGGCTGCGGCCAGGATCAACCATAAATCACGATCAACCACCAACGATGGATCGATACGAACAAAAATCCCCATGATGGTCCCCATTGGCAAATGCGACCGCTCACCGACCGCACCGCACACCGCTGTCCGACCGCACGGCTGACCGAGTGGCCGATCCGAAGCTGAATGACCTTCCATAGAGCAGAGCCTCTGGCGACCGGGTCGATTGAATTCTTTTTCCGTCCACCGGTTGGTTCGCTAGCTAGCTGGCGAAGTTGCTGGTTTCTGCCAGCAAAATAGAAGGTTTAGTACACTGGGTAGTACACGGGTAAGTATAGAATGTATGTATACTAAGTCCATATACATCCCAACATGCCCTGTAAGCGCCTTTACTCTACTTCTTGTGCGCGCTGGGATGTTCTGACCGTCTAAATTGGCACATGCACTTTGGTGGGGAAGGATCACCTATATATGATGGTTTGAGGCGCTCCATGCAAACATCTAAAAACCATCCCCGCTTATGTGTTGCATGAGTGGGGTAAATCTGCATCTCGTAGATGAAGAACTCCTCTTCGAGCGAAACCGTTCCCTGCATGTGGCTATCCAACGACGGTTGATCCAAAAGTAGAGTACCGCAACAATTCCAAGTGCACCAGAAAATGAACACCAAATTATTCTGTATCATCTGAACCTTGAAAGCCAAACCACCATGTTTAGCTATTATACATCATATACAATTTCGATATATTATGATATATTAATGTCTTTCTCTCTGCGGGCCTTGTGCGAGGCCCCTCATGCCCTTCTCGCCTACATGATCTGTGTCTTCACCCTCGTCCTCGCCGTTGAGGTGATCGATCGCGTTGACGGAGTTCACCGTCTTCATGAGCTGAAGAAAGGTCAACAAAAGAAGTGCCTGGCACAATGATCAACATACACCCAGCACCCAGCTTGCTGGTCAAGGAGTTGTTGGGTAATTGAAAGAGGACATAACATGTTGGGACCATGACGCAGCGGGGAACAGGACAGCCAACCAAAAACAGGTGCGACCACCATGACATTGGGAGCAAAGAGAAGCAAAGAGACAATGAACATGACATGGGGCCCTCTTTGGGATGTCCCATTCCAGGCACATGTCAATGTTTCTTCAACCATAGCTTCAAAACTCCATCGTGTGTGTTGATGTGTTTTTTCTTCCTGGTTTCTCATGTCATCACGCCCCTCGAAATCAACCGTTCATATCTTTCATAATTTCTACATGTGTTCACGGCAAACAGAAGCTGAGAGGACAATTTGTCCTCCATCTCTTCCAACACCTCCCAAGACCCTCGGGCTTTGGAGAGGTCGAAGTTCCCCGAGAAAGTTCCCCTTTGGAATTCGGAGTTCGAGCACAGAGTTCTCTTCCACCGATCCTGTATACCTGTACGGTACCTCACTGAGGCCACAGTCCCTCAAGCCAGAAAATAAAGAAGCACCTCGGGCCCATCTCAGCTCCGAACGGTAACTGGTTTCCACCCCTTTTCCGCCCTGCCTGCTCCATGAGTTCAGCAGACCTCTGAAGGAACTGCAGTCGCTCGTCTTGGGGACAAAGGGATGCACAAACGACGGACGGACAGCGAAGAACTCAGAACTGTGCCGATCAGATGGGGGGCCGAGCCCAGGTCGAAACCCAAGTCGCCCCACCTGAGGCCCTGATCGAACTTGCTCTTGGGGTCGCCCTTGCGTGCGGCGAAGTGCACCACGACGAAGGTCAGAGAGGCGACCAACAAGGCAAGGCCCAGATACTTCAGAACCTTGGAGTGGTCGCCACGTGGACAAAAAGTCGACCGCCAGGCCGCCAGGACGCCCGCTTTTAACTGGAGGGGTCGGAAGTGGTCAGAACACATCAATGGGAGGCACCAACCCCAAGTTTGAACAGTCCACCAAGTGGTGGCGGGAAGAACTGGAAGGATAGGAATAAGAGGAGTACACACTGAGGAGTACACCCTTGCAGCGTTGCAGGACATGTCTGAAGCTTTTTGAAGGTCCACGTATGTCCACGTTCCTTGGGATTTCCTTGATGAGCCCAAGCTCACTCACCATGGGACGTGTTGATCCTAACTTGCTCCTGCACCCTCCAAAAAAGTAACAAACTCTTTGCTGAACACACCAGCCAGCTCAGGACCTCCAGACCTTGAGCAAGCCAACAAGCAAGTTGCCCATAAGGATCCATCAGTAGGATGGTCGATGGTTTCTATAGTGCACAAATGTTTTAGAACATGCAGTTGGAAAACGTTTGCTTTTGCTTTGTTTGTTTGCGGGGGTCTTCGCAAAACATTTTGATGAAGTAAGTAACAGCCTTGACTGTGGGCGGCTTAATGTAATTTAAGTTGGCTTAGTTGGTTGACAAAAAAGGGGTTCGAAGAAAACCCTAATAGGAACCATTAACAGGTCTGTCCTGGCTAAACTATGTCCATCTATGAAAGTCCAGCACCCGAAGAAATATCTGCGTCTCCAGGAACTCAAAGAAGTAACAATCTGCAATTGCCACTCGAGCTTCGTCTCGCCAATAGATAGGTCTCTGGACATACTGATGTCCACCCAATGCGAGGTCTGGACTGATATCACTCGACTCCTTGGCTCCGCAGAGCATGTCTCCCATTGGTCGAGGACATGACATCCTCCAGGGCCAGGGATGAGTCTGTGACTTCAGTATATTTCGTAAATCAATTGAGGCTCATCGTCCAGTCATCAGCGTGTCGGCATGTGTCGGCCACCTCCTTTATTGGCATGCCTTGCCACCGCTTGACAGTGCTCGTTGTCAAAGTCGTCGTTGTACAAGTCCGAAACTTTTTGATGCCTGTCCTGCATTTTGGGCATTTCCCAACAGTTGATGCAGTCCATGCAAATCAAGGAGTGCATGTCGCACAGGCGGCAGCTGAGTGAGCCAATGTTCTCATGTTCGTCGAGTGTCTCCACAATGTTCATAGTCACATAGTCCGAACCTCTGTCGTGTCTTTCATCATTGATCGCACGCCTTTGGCGGTCCCTGTTCTTGTGTCGGTGAAGACCCCGTCTCGGACTGCAATAGTTCGCTGCGCTGTGGCGTTTTCCCGTCAAGTTGCACTGCGAGATCAAGCCGTGGCAAAGCGAAATCTTCCATTACAAGCACCTAGTGGCTGGATACCTAAGCCACTTCAAATTCTAGATTCTACATACTGATTGGGAGTTTGTTTTGATTATTGTTTGGTACACCAACGTTACATTGAGCCTCTCTTCCAGCCTATAAAATTTGAAGTGTCAAACCTCAAGACACTTATCCTAACATAGCAATACAGGAGGCCTAGTTTATTGTTATACCGTGTTTGACAACTGCCACCACTCTAAGGGTTCTCTGACCCTGCAAATCATACTACCCCTTGGACTCAGACCGGGATTAAGAGACATTCTGGAGCCTGGCAATTGAAGCACTCAGTATACTGTATACTCAACTGATTGAAGTATGGAATCAACATAAAGTAAATCACAACCGGGGTGACATGGGGTGACTTCTTTGATATTACTGCCTGTAGCAGGTTTTTGACTAACACAAGTTACCAGGATATTTTTCAAGAATGAAGACAATCTCTTGCACACTTACATATTTATCGTCCCGTGTGAATACCGCGTACTATGCTACCCTCTGGCCCTTTGGGAAGTGGAAATAAAACACGCAAACTCCAGATGCCCGCTGTCTATCTCCTGTTGTTCTGAACGTCCTTCACACGGCCACGAAAGCCCGCGCGGCCGTCAAACCCACTCTGAGCGACGATGAGCGGAGCCCAGCTCGCCTGCCAGAAAGCCCGCAGTTGGAGCCCAGCTTTTGGAACTCAGCTGAAAAGTGGGTCGCCAACTTCTAAGTGAGGTGATTTTAGACTATCCACAATGCCAGACCAAGGTATAGGAAGGTCCCCCAGACTTTCTGAGAGGTGACACTTGGCTAAGCCAACTCATCCGCCCACACACCTCTCCGACCTCTTATCCGACCTATTCCGTCCTCAGTTTCACCCAAAATCCTTGACGCAGAGCTTCAAGCGTCGTTTCGCCCGGATTCGAGCACCGCGCACGCGCGAAGAAGAAGACCCCGTCGAACACACGGGACTTCGCAACGCGCACCTGACTTCGCTTGACATGACATTCCTTGCAGATTCCAGCTGACCAGTAGTAGTCGTCCGCGCAGTAGGAACAAAGCGTGCCCTTGTAGCCTTTGCTGCAATCGTTCCGGTTCTCGCAGTTCTGGTGTAGGCAGCCCTTACCATGGCATCCTCAGATCTCAATGTATATCCCAAACGCGACCTGTCTGGGACTGGCATATTTACATACATTGGGGTGGTTTGAGGGGTCAATGTAAGCTATAAGCATATATGGCAGTCCCATGGAGTGTCTGGGTATGGTGGCAGATATGTTCTAGCGGCTGTCGACCATGCGATCGATGCTGACAATGCGAGAGCTAAGGGTGTATTCGGAATGTGTATACGGAACCACCAGAGTGGGTCGAAGACATTGTGCCGTCACTTTATCTCGCGAGAGCTAAGGCCGTTTCTTCAACACGCTGTGTGGACCTAGGTGTAGGTGACAAAAACTATCATCTGTGCACTAGCACAGACTTATATGTGTGTGTGATCAGTAGCCATTGTCTGTAGTTCAGGTTTCTGGTGCTTTCTCGACGCTGATCTCCCGAACTGGTCATTGGGACGAGATGGCAAACCCAACAAAAAAAAAAAAACACGTCCCCAAAAAGAGATCGCTTGAGATAAAACGCTTAAAAGCGAAGCGACGATAGCATTGGTGAGCTCCATCCGGCTGGGACTCAGGCCTTGCAAGCCTTTGGTTTGGAGGGCACAAGCAGCAGCGGCTCCCGGCGTCGGGCTCCAGGGGTCTAACGCACTCGTCGCACACCGTGCCTTGGCCTGCCCAGCCGGCGGAGCAACGGCACAAACGCCTTGGTGGCGGCATCTACGATGGAACCGAGGGGAAGGATGGGGAAGAATGCCACGGGCACCAGACTGAATTAACTTAACATAAATGAACCAACTGAATTAATAGCAAAAGACTCTGGAAAAAAACATATGGTTTCTGTTCATCTAAAGAAAGAAAATGCACCATGGCCTCCTCAAGAAAGACGTTCCTCTGCAAACAGGTGTGTTTCCACCCCATAGTCAGACGAGAAGCAAAAGGATCAAGGAATCCAGCTGTCAGCAATGTCTTGGTTTCATGAACCCTCCAAGAAACCCGACAGTTGGTTGAATTTGTCTCAGATTTTTCCCCAAACCGAGACGTTCCCAAGTAGCCTACCAACAAGAAAGGCTTGCCGGAAGCTCAATGCCCTTTTCAACTGATGAAAATGACCTGGGCTACTGGAATCTGCTTCAAACTTAGGGTCCCCAAAAATGAAAAAAAATCAAAGAAGTTTTTGAAAATATAATGACGCAGACTAAAAACAGTTTTTTTTAATATGGTTGATTGTTTCATTTTGCCATCAACCATATCAAAATCATCACTACCAACCATATCATTACCTCATTCATTTTCACAAAATCATCACAGCAAACCATATCATCACCTCATTCATTTTCACAAAATCATCACAGCACACCATTGTTTAAATTCCTTTGATGCTTATTTGATTTAATATGTCTTGAGAAATAGTGTTGCCTCATTGAACAATTACAAACAGAACAGGTAATGGTTTTTAGATTAAAATTGTGTCTTTGTTCCAGATTTTTTTCTATATTCTTCATCGTCTTCATATATTTTTCTTTGCGCTTCATTGTATCTATCATTGTTATTGTAATGACAATTTTTGTTGTAGTCTATACATTTCTTACAACATATATTACCTTCATAAAATTCTTTGATGCTTTTAGTATTTTTACATTTCTTACAATATTGCTCTTCCATCATATCTCATCATATAACCATCTTTTTCTTTTAAATAGATTTTTCACATAACCAACATAAAACATTTCTCAGGAAAAAACAATAGCCTATAATAAAGACAAATTCAAAGAACAAAACATATAATTCACATAAAAACTACTTAAAGATTAAATGACTTAATAAAATATATAGAGTATTATATGATGAAAAAAGTTATAGATTATCTATTAAATAATGGTTTAGCAGAAATACCTAAGAGAGGAAAAAAAAGAATTAAAGCAAATAATCATAGATGGTAGGACATTTAGATACAATAAAGCAAAAGAAATATTAAATGTTTTAAATCAAAAACTTAAATCAATCAGAAATACAAACGAGCTTTGGAGGTATGCCTTAAACAAAGCAAAAGATGCTTACACCCTTGGACGAGCAAAAGTATTACTAACCAGAAGGGCAATAAGAAATAAATTCAGAGTAGATGATGTCCAGTCAGCATTTAGAAACTATGCCAATTCCATAAAACTTGAAAATAAGCACGTTCAAGGTGAGCGAGGATTGGAAATGATTGCTCATCAAAAATCACGATTAAGAGACTTCTTAAAAAATATATAAATGTGAATCTGATGGTGTTGAACTGGACTTCTTCTTTTAATAATCTGTTCAATGTATCTTCATAAGTTATATAGTTTAATTTATTACTAGCTTTGTGCTTTACTACACCTTTACCTTTCTTTTGTTCCCTGTCCTCTCCATAGACTTTGTAGCAATAAGCCTTTGGTTTTAATCCTATAAACATAGTAGTTATTTTACCGTTCATTTCATCCTTAAACTTGCCTAATACCTTTTTGTTTGATTTATCATAGTTAGGATGTTCAACATTGTAATCACTAAAATCCATATATTAATTTGTTTCTTTGAAGTCTTTGTATAAATCATCAGTATCAACCTGTATTACATAACTATCAGTGTCAGTATAGACCAACTTAATATTATCTTGATATTTTGGTTTCAAAACATCATAGTCAAACGAATACATGTGAATTTTAGAATAGTCTAAAATCCGCCGGCCTGCCGGCGTGTTTTGTGGATTGTCTTGGTTAGTATAGCTTGTCTTGGTTTCAGCTTAAGGTTTGTCTCTCCGCGCGGATTTTTCGACAGCCTGACGCCCCCCCCC